TGCCGTCGCCCAGTCTGGTGTTTTTTCTCAGAGCCAGTGGATGCCAAACACACCTTCTGAGCCTCTGAAGAGTCACCTTCTTCTGGCAACTTCTCAGGGAGAGAAGTACAAGCAGCTGCCTCTGAAGTGAATTCTACCTTTCTCCTTTTATTCCTCAATTGCCTTTTTTGCTGAGATGAATTCTCTTCTAGAGAAGTAACTTCAGCTTCCTCGAGAACCCTCTTTTGGGCTCTACCTCTGGGCAACCCAGACTTTTCCCTGAGAGAAGTGGAACTGTTTTTTTCAGATGGGGAAGGAATCCTTTTCTTTCGACTCGCTCTTGATGGATTTTCTTTGGCAGATTGAGTTTCATCCTTACAACCTTCTGGCAAACCTTGAAGTGAGGGAGAACTGACAGCCAGCGAGGTCACCCTCTGCTCTGAGTCCCCTTTTAAATGATTTATTTCTTCTTGGGAAGCAGAATTTTCCACAATCAGCTTTTTTTCTTCCCTACAACTGTTTTTCTTACCCCTTTCTTTTGATAAGCCCTGTTTTCCCTGAGTAGAACTTGTTTCTAACAAGGGGACAATTTCTTTCCTTCTGCTTCTTCTCAGCTGATTTTCTTTTCCAGCTGAATCAGAAGTTTCCAATGGAACATTTTGATCTTCTTTAGAAGCTTCTTTACCAGCATTTGCTGGCAAACCACGTTTTCCTCTAAGAGAAATGTAGTTAGCTGTGTGAGATGCCAGAGCAGTTTCTCTCCTCCGGCCCCTTCCTAATGGCTTCTCCTCTGCACAGGGCACTGTTTCCACAGGCACGTTTTGCTCTTCATGAGGACCCTCCTCTTCCTCACCAGTGCCTGCTAAGTCCCATTTTCTCTGGGGAGGAGATGAACGTTTTGCCTCTGCTGCTAGACCAGTTTTCTTCCCTTTGTCTCTTGTTGATGTGTTTGCTTTTGCCTGCAAAGTTTTATTTCCCAAAGCTGGTTTTTCATCTTCCTTCACAGTCATTGTTTTACCATCACCCTCTAGGACCCCACATCTTCTTCTGGCAGAGAGAGCTCTAGATGTCTGTGATGCTGCAGCAACCTCTCGTCTTCTCCCCCGCCTCGGTGGGGTGTCTCCTGTTGAAGAGGCAGCAGCTTCCAGAGCTGCCTCTTGCTCTTTTACAGAAGCCTCCTCTTGACTCTGACCTGCAGCTGACCTTTGTTTTTCTACAGAAGAAACTGTTTGTGGAATGGAATCAACTTGCTTCCTTCTGCTCCTCCTCACTTGTGAAGGATTTTCTGCAGTGTCCTGTTGACCACCCTTACAAGTCATTCCTTTGTCCTCCTCAGGGAAACTCCTTTTCCCTTTGACCACTTTGGAATCAGCTTCTTCAAACTTCACTTTTTTCCCTGTCCCTCTTCTCCACGCTGTCCCATTTTTCAGGGCTTCATTCCCTTGCAGGATTCCAGTCTGCTTGGCTTTCAGCTCACTCCTTGTGCGCTTCTGACGGCCACCAGCAGGACTGTCACTGTCTGGAGCAGCTCCTGAGGTGGCAGCTGGGTGGCTCTGCTCCTTCAGCACTCGGTCTGTGTCCTTCACACCAACACAGCCCGAAGAATCTGTGAGGGAAGACTCCCCCAGTTTGGTTTCTGACTTGATTTGGGGGGTAATTAGTTCAGTGGTGTTTATGTCTTTAGCAATTTCATCTGGTTTTTTCTCCAAAGAGTCTTTTGTGCCTCTCCTGTTCCTCGTTCTCTTTGTTTCCTGCACTGCACTTCTGCTTGCTTCCAAGTTCAGAGCAGGAACTGGCATTTTGTTTGTCTCTCCAGAAGGTGACTCTGCCTTTAATCTTTGAGATGCCTCTGTTGTATTTTCCTGAGCATTCTCTGTGTCATCTCCCCGAGATCCTTTCATCTCATTTTTGATGTGTGACTGTGTTTCAGTTGAAGTTTCCTCAGTTTTCTGAAGGTTCTGTGTGCTTTCAAGTGCCATCCCACAAACACCTGCTTTTACTGCAGGCAAGTGCTTTCTACCACTCCTCAAAGACCTTCCTCTCTCCTCTGTCACCTTGAGTGTAGCTCCATGTTCAGATTCTCCTGCTGTGGCAGCCTCAGTGTCTCTCTCAGAAGTCTCTTCATCCCTTTGCACTGCTGATGGGTCTTTACGAAGCCTCCTCGTTGTCCCCTCTGAGGAAGGTTGGGTGACTTGGTCATTTCTACCTCTTCTTCCTCTTCTGGGTGGAAGAAGTGATTCTGTATTTTCTACTTTTTTGACTCCTCTAGTCCTCCTCCCAGGTGACAGAAGCTTTTCTTCACTGTCTTCACCACCTTTGTTAGGTTTGTTTCCAGGTTTTTTTACACCTGTTTCTGGTTGATGATTCTCATTTTGATTGCTACTGGGTGCCCTCATTGCCTTTATGTTTGGTTCATCTTTGGTTTCTAAGATGTCATTGATGCCATACTCCTGCAGAGTCTGCTTCATATTTGCAAGTTCTTTTTGTAGCACTGAAGAATCTTTGCCACAAGACTGAGGATTCTCACCTGGATGCTTTGACTCCTTTGCTGCTGTGCTTTTACCTCTTCCTCGTCTTAGCCTAGCTCCATGTGGCTGCACAGATGGAACAGTTTCCATCTTTTCCTGATCAGAGAGCTCTGGAACAATTTCTTCCTGTACACAGGGCTTTGTTCTTCCTTCTCCTTCACTTAAAGATACTGAAGCTGAAGAATTGATCTCTCCCATCTCCTCCTGGCTGCTCTTTTTTCCCAGCCCTTGCAATTCTTTTAGATTCAAACCCTTTTCACACTGTTTTGCTGAAGCAGGATGGACTGTCCTTTGTGGTCTGCCTCTTGTTGGTCTCTGGGTAGACTGGTCTTCACTAGTTGCTTCCTTCTGTTGAGATTCTTCACCTTGTGAAGTATTTCCTCCATCTTCTAAAACAGGTGGTTTTTTTCCCCATTCAGAATTTTTACATAGAAAAAGAGCAGAAAGAGCAGTTATACATTATATCCAAGTACCTGTGAGCTTTGATTCTCCCAGAAGAGTCACCTGGCTCAAACAAACCCCACTTAATACAGTTAAATTTAAAAAAATCAATCAATAAACAAGTAATGAACTCAACCAATTCCAAGATTAAAGATCAGGCTTCTGACCAAAGGTAGCATTAGCAGGTTGAAGCTATGTTCTTCACAGTCTTTGCCAAGAGAGTGGAGCACAGGAGGCTGTCAACAACTCCTCCCTGAAATGAGGTTGGAGCCAGGTGGGAGTTGGTCTCTTCTCCCAAGGAAGAAGCCATAGGACAAGAGGAAACAGCCTCAAGTTGCACCGGGGGAGGTTTAGGTTGGATTTTAGGAAAAATGTCTTCCCTTAAAGGCCTGCCCGGGGCTGTGCCGGGCTGCCCAGGGCAGTGGTGGAGTCCCCACCCCTGGAGGGGTTCCCAAGCCATGGAGATGTGGTGTGAGGGACATGGGTCAGTGGTGATGGTTGGACTCGATGGTCTCAAGGGTCTTTTCCAACCACAACAATTCTATGATTCCATAATTTTAAGTGGAGACCCTAACATCAGATTTTACAGACTGGTATGTTTGGAGACACCAACAAACCACTGCACTGTTACTGTTTTGACTGCACAAACTCATGAGCTACATACCCTTCACAATGGATATTTAGGAATTTTTAAGCTATGTTAAAACTTCCCAAAATCACCTATTACCATCTACATCCACTATTTCTCTAGTTAAACTATTTGTACTTACCAAATTTGTGATTGGAATTAGCACAAGGAGGTGCAGGATCTTCCTGCATAGAATCCACAACATTTGCTGAGCTCACCTAAGGGAATAAACAATAATCACTCAATACATGTCAGAAGGGACAGACACAATGGAACCAACCAACAGAACATATTGGAAGAAGTCTTGTCAAATACTTTTCCCTAAAAAAGGACATCAACTTAGGTTCATCACTGCACCCATGTATCTGATACCAGCACACAAATACATCAAACTTCATCCTTGCCACCTAAACTAGTGCACAAGTTCTACAAGGAAAAAAAATGGATCTGGGAACGAGCATTAAAATCAATATTTAAAAAATAAGATGAGAGAAAATGGGATTAGAGATTTAGGGTGGATATTAGGATGGATTTCTTCACCTAAAGAGTGGTGAAATTGGCCCAGGCTGCCCAGGGAAGTGGAGTCATCAGCCCTGGAGGGTTCAAAAACTGTGTGGACATGGTTTAGTGGTCATGGTAGTGTTGGGTTGGTGGCTGGGGCTTGATGATCTTAAAGGTCTTTTCTAACCTTAATGATTCTATGAAGTTTCATCTACAGGGTGTGAAGGAACTGTGCAGGACAAGGAGCCCCAAGCACACACCTCCATCATGGCAAGGAAGGCTGAGATAAAGTTCTATTCTAGTTTGTAAGCAATGTAAAGGATGCTTTAAACACAACGGGAACAAATCACCCCAGAAAGAAAAGTGCTTGGACACAAATTCACAACAAGTTGGTGTCTTCTAGCAGGGGGCACCCAGCTGGACAAAGCTACCAAAAAAACAAGTTTCCAGATGAACACACTGTGCTTTTCTAGGTGTCTTTCCTCCAGAGGTCACAGATGTACATTACAGCACTTCACATATGTCACAAGATGTCCAAGATGGCCTAAGAAGTCATTCCAACCCCAGGCTTCCAAGTCTCCACACACCCCTTCCAAAAGCTGAAGTGTTTTACCTCCCTTTCCTCTGCTCTGTCAAACATCTCTGTCACTCCAACGTAGTCCACCTCAGAGTCAGAACGTTCCTGCCTGGGCTCTGCCATCAGCCTTTGCAGACCCACAAAGTCCTCCACTGGCTGACACTTCTCCTTTGGTGTCTTCACTAACCTACTAAAACCAAACATGTTTTCAATGGGTTCAACTTTTGCCTTTGGGGTCTTGAAGATACGGCTGACCCCAATCATGTCTTCTACTGGTTGATACTTCAGCCTTGGAGTTCTCTTGATTAAATTGACACCTCCCACATCTGCTGCTGCTTCCCTGCTTTCTGCTGGAGCATTCAGTGACCTTGTAAAGGCAACTTCATCTGCAACAGGCTCCAACTCTTGCTGTGGGGTCCTCAAGAGTTCCTTAATGCCAGACAGGTCTTCAACTGGCCCTGACTTCTGCTTTGGGGTCTTCATGAGCTGCTTGACACCTGACAGGTCTTCTACTGGCTCCAACTTCTGCTTTGGGGTCTTCATGAGCTGCTTGATGCCAGACAAGGCCTCTGATGGTTCCAGCTTCTGCTTTGGGGTCTTCATGAGCTGCTTGATGCCAGACAAGGCCTCTGATGGTTCCAACGTCTGCTTTGGAGTCTGCATGAGCTGCTTAATGCCAGACAGGTCCTCTGCTGGCTCTGACTTCTGTTTTGGGGTCTTCATGAGCTGCTTGATGCCCGACAAGTCCTCTACTGGTTCTGACTTCTGCTTTGGGGTCTTCATGAGCTGCTTGATGCCAGACAAGGCCTCTGATGGTTCCAGCTTCTGCTTTGGGGTCTTCATGAGCTGCTTGATGCCAGACAAGGCCTCTGATGGTTCCAGCTTCTGCTTTGGGGTCTTCATGAGCTGCTTGATGCCAGACAAGGCCTCTGATGGTTCCAGCTTCTGCTTTGGGGTCTTCATGAGCTGCTTGATGCCAGACAAGGCCTCTGATGGTTCCAGCTTCTGCTTTGGGGTCTTCATGAGCTGCTTGATGCCAGACAAGGCCTCTGATGGTTCCAGCTTCTGCTTTGGGGTCTTCATGAGCTGCTTGATGCCAGACAAGGCCTCTGATGGTTCCAGCTTCTGCTTTGGGGTCTTCATGAGCTGCTTGATGCCAGACAAGGCCTCTGATGGTTCCAGCTTCTGCTTTGGGGTCTTCATGAGCTGCTTGATGCCAGACAAGGCCTCTGATGGTTCCAGCTTCTGCTTTGGGGTCTTCATGAGCTGCTTGATGCCAGACAAGGCCTCTGATGGTTCCAGCTTCTGCTTTGGGGTCTTCATGAGCTGCTTGATGCCAGACAAGGCCTCTGATGGTTCCAGCTTCTGCTTTGGGGTCTTCATGAGCTGCTTGATGCCAGACAAGGCCTCTGATGGTTCCAGCTTCTGCTTTGGGGTCTTCATGAGCTGCTTGATGCCAGACAAGGCCTCTGATGGTTCCAGCTTCTGCTTTGGGGTCTTCATGAGCTGCTTGATGCCAGACAAGGCCTCTGATGGTTCCAGCTTCTGCTTTGGGGTCTTCATGAGCTGCTTGATGCCAGACAAGGCCTCTTATGGTTCCAACTTCTGCTTTGGGGTCTTCATGAGCTGCTTGATGCCAGACAAGGCCTCTGATGGTTCCAGCTTCTGCTTTGGGGTCTTCATGAGCTGCTTGATGCCAGACAAGGCCTCTGATGGTTCCAGCTTCTGCTTTGGGGTCTTCATGAGCTGCTTGATGCCAGACAAGGCCTCTGATGGTTCCAACTTCTGCTTTGGGGTCTTCATGAGCTGCTTGACACCTGACAAGGCCTCTACTGGCTCTGACTTCTGCTTTGGGGTCTTCATGAGCTGCTTGACACCTGACAAGGCCTCTACTGGCTCTGACTTCTGCTTTGGGGTCCTAAAAAGCTGCCTGATGTCTGGCATGATGTCAACTGGCTCAAACTTCTGCTTTGGAGTCCTTTTACTTCCTGATTTCACCCCAGGCGTTTGTTTTTCTGGAATTACTGACAAAGTATCCACACTAATATTTTCTTCCAGCACAGCTTTTCTTTTTTCAGGAGTTTTGGAGGATATTGCAGCAAAAGTAGACATTGGAGACTCCTCCTCTCTCAGAAAGAGACAAATGCCTGGACTATCTTGTTTCTGTTCTGAAGCAGCTGAACTATTTAATGGTGAAACCATCATCTCTCCTGAAACAAGTAGATTTATGTAATTTAGAAAAAGAGTTAGGCAGAAAATCCAAACATTCTAATTGCTGTGTAACTGAGGAAAATGATTTCAAACAGCCAGAGCCTCCTACAAACCAAAATGCAAACATGGGCACCAACCACTGATTTGGTAACTAGCTTCTATGAGGCACAGCACACATCTAAAAAGGTGATTACAAACTAATTTGATTCTTTTTTCTTATTTACTGTGATATAAAAATGAATGTTTCCTGTTGCCCCTAACATTCCTAGTGCTCCAAGTTTTTTTATTGAGATTTCCTTTCTGTTTTAAAGCAATACCAGACATAAAACAGAAATTTCCATATTAAAGAACATACATTTGGCCTTTACTCCTACTAGCAAACAAGAAATGAATAAAAGGGAAGGGTTATGGGAAAAAAAAGTCTGGCCAGAACAACTCACAGATTTTGGAGAAGTTGCATTTTCTGCCTGAAACAATTTACACCAAGCTTCTGCCAAAATAAATCAACCAGACTCATTTTCAGCTGTTAATATTTTAACTATTGAAGGATTTATTCTTGATTTTTCTTGGGGCTTCACACAGCCCCTTATTGATATGAGTCTTTCTAACCTGATTTTCAAAAAATATGTTTTAAATAGACTTTTTCTGCAAGATTACACAGAAATCTCTCCCTGCCATGAAACTTTGTCACTGGATTTTGATGGATCCACAGACAGCTAGTTAAGAAAGAGCCAAGCTTCAGCACAAGGTCTCCCTAAGCACCTACTCAAAAACTAACAGGAATTACAAAATTTTAATATAAAATAAAACCAATGGTTCCATATCTGGGCTGCCAGATGCTTCATCTCAGTACACCAAGCCTGCCTAGGCTGAGACAAGTCACTGTCCCAAGCAGTAGACACATCTCCCCCCCTAAGTACATCTAAATATTCCCTTTTTTCCCCCCCAATAACAAACTTACCAACTTCTTCAGGAGTGTGCAATTCAGAAATCTCCTCTGCAGTACACGTGGGTGTAAAATCAGTCTTCTGAACCATGCCCAAAAATGTTCTTCCACTCTCATTCTCTGGAGTTTGGCACTTTTCCATCATTACTATAAATTATATTTAAAGAAATGAGCATATGTTTTGACAAAGAATGACACAGTTGGCAGAGGGGGCAATGGGCTTTAAAAACTTACCCGTGGAGCTTTCATCCATGTTTAGCTTCAAGTGAGGATTTTTTACCACTTTAGGGGCCTGTCCAGCTGTTCTGACTGTGGTGGAATAAGCTCTACCCACAACTATTGTAGCAGGTGACTCTGCATGACCAGTGCTAAAATGACCTTTTATTTTCCTTTCTGGAGTCTGCAGAGGGGAAAAGAAGGGGAAAAAAAAATACCACAAAGAAAACAACACAAGAAAAGTTAATAAACAAATTCCTTTTATATAAATCTACCTTTCTTATAAGCTGTGACAAAGACATTAACACCCATTTAGTATCATACTAAAGGCTCAGAAGCTTTTAGGTTCTGTAGCAAAATATCTACAAGATGTTTTGTGGTTCTGGAGAAAGAAGAAAAAAAAAGGAAGAGGAAACAACCAGTAGGATGAAAAAAAAAAGGGTGAGTTAAAAAAAAAGGATAAGGGGAAAAAAAATGGGAGGAAAAATCCTTACCTTTAACAATTGAGTTGTCTTCTTCAGGGACCTTCTTTTACAGGCATTTTTTTTAGCAGCCTTGGGCTGTGGTCTTGCAACACCTGATTTTACAACTTCTGCCCAAGATTTTGCAACTAGAAAGCAAAAGGGAAAGAACCAATTTACTTCTCAGCTGTATAAATGGGAGTTCACCATTATCCCTCTCTGATACCAACAGATGTGCTGCAGGCAGGCATAGGACAGGAGTTGTTGGGGCATCTGACAACACCTAAAGTGTTCTGTGAAATGCTTTCAATGGGTAGACTCAATCCAGACTTTCATTTTGGATACAAAGCAGGCATCCAAAATATTTAAGAACTGTGATGTCCTTCTCACATTAGAGAAGCTGATGCACTGACATTAAAAACCACTTCCACAGAGAGGTGGTGAAAAATGGTCATTAGTATTTCTGAAATACTCTGCTGCTATTACAATGAATGGAGAAACCAGAGACACTGAAAAAAACCTCACTTATTTTGCTAAAAGCTTAATGCCACTGCTGGCTGTATTAACCAGGAGGGATTTTGAAGGCCTGTGATTTTATCTCATTGTGTAATAACAGTAAGAAATCACTGGGACATTCTATGTACTTTGTTGTTCAAAATTTTAAAATGACACTGCAAAAAATGAGGAAGTAGAGTCATAAAAATTCCTTGGTGAATGGTGGTGTTAGTGGGAAGCTTTACATTTGGCTTTGAAAGAGTCAATTAACTCCAAGTTTTCATCCTGTTTTTAATTACATCTGCTATATACCACTGTCAACAGTTAACTGCAGCCCAGTCCATGGCCAAAGGCTGTGAACTGTGCATAAAAAAAGGTGCAAAGATAACAAACTGAAGGAAAATAGTCATCTATCTATAAAGTGCACATTTGAAAATCAAAATGGATGTGACTGATACAATTTAGTTCAATATTACTTGAACCTAAAGGACTTCAAGGATGGTTAATGCAACAAACGTTGCAAAGAGAACCTTAATTTGATCATTTTTCAACTTTTGGATTTAATATTTGTATTCTAAATGCAGTTCTAGATGTGCTTTAGTAATTTGCTTTATGGCTATGAGAGAATGGAGCACTAACTCCAGCTGTTTCCAACAACCATCAGAAGACAGACCTCTACATAACAAAATAACATGCCTACTTTAAAATGAATTTTAAAAAATAACTGCTGAAACAAACCTAGTAAATTAGCACTGGAGGCACCACTGCTTCTTTTTGCACTGAGAACTGCCACAGCTCCACTTCTCCTCCTCATGGGTGTGACCTTCAAAGCAAGTTGTGAGCTTCTCCTTGGTGGGTCAGGTGTGGCTGTCACAAAGGTCTCCTCTTGGTTAACAGGAGATTTAGGTGTCTTCACTTGGCCACCACTTGTCTCCTTTGTGTCTCCTGCACCAACATCCTTCTCTTCTGCAATAGGCAGTGATGTCATGAGGTAGGAAACAGAGAAACGGCCTCTTCTGTAGGGTGCTGGAGAGCCTGAAGTGAATTTGTTGGGTGTTGTCTTCCCAGAGGTGGGGGATGAGGCCACTGGGGACTTCTGGGCTTGCAAATGTTTCGGTGACATTTTTTCTGTCTGCAAATGTTCAGGAAGTTCCTAACAGGTGGGGAAAAAAAAAATATACACATAAAGATAAAATGTTGCTGCACGTAGCTGAACTACAAATGCTGCATCTCTGACAGGTAAATGTAATAGAGTAAAATATCATCAGATCATTTGAAGAAGCCTTAAATGTTACACTCTGAAAAGAAGCTTGTAACATGTTTTAAAAGTCAAAGCAGTCTCAAAAGACTCATGCAAATTCAACTGAATAAATTCACTGGATTTGGTGTTCTACTTTAGTCCAAAGTTTTGTTCACATCAAGTACACTTTTTAAACTAGTTTAAATCAACAGCAAACATCTCCAAACTTCTCACCAAACCATACAGCAGCAGCTTGTAGAGTCTGGCAACAAATTAATGTTGTTTTCTGTTATTTGTGGTAAACTGGAGCTTACAGACACTGCAAATACACTCCCCTATGAATAAAAACACCTCCTGCATAAAGACAGGTAGATATTCAGACTAAGTTGAGCCCTTCCTACAAAGGTTAAAAAAAAATGCTGATTCAAACACTATTTTACATTAACAATTTAATATTTCCACTTCCCAACCCACATCTAACAAGGCACGCTACTCATTTTTTAGAAAGCTTGGAGATTCTAAATTCTCCTGGCATTAATTGTGTTAATAACTTGATTAGTCTTAATATTTACCTGGGCTGTGGAGGGCTTCAGTCCCTGAGCCTTCTTCAGCACGGCACGGGGCGAGTGTCCAAAGGTCAGGCTCAGCCTGGCAGGGGTTGCCCCTCTTTTAAGGGGTGAGTTGGGAGGCAAACTCTTATCAAAGAGTTCTGGGCTTAGCTGACCACCAAAAGACACCTTCTTTCTTTTTCCAAGAAGCTGAGGTAAGAAATCACCACTCCTCTTCTTCGGGGAAATCATTTTGGCCTTGCCTAAAAATAACAATTGAGAATGTTTCTGTGTATCCAAGAATCCAAGTCAACCCTTGAAGCAGCACAGAAAATGTTGCTGCCTCTGGGTTTTTACAGTTGGGAACTTATCAGAAGGGAACAAAGGGAAATGGATTCAACTGAGTAAACTTTTATATATTTTATTGTGCATTTTTATCATCTATAGTTATATGATAACTGTTTCAGATCTAATGTCAGCTGTGAGTTCTAGGTTTTATGCAAGTGGAAAAATTCTCATCAAAAACCATAACAATTGAGAATGTTTCTGTGTATCCAAGAATCCAAGTCAACCCTTGAAGCAGCACAGAAAATGTTGCTGCCTCTGGGTTTTTACAGTTGGGAACTTATCAGAAGGGAACAAAGGGAAATGGATTCAACTGAGTAAACTTTTATACATTTTGTCATCATCTATAGTTATGTGATAACTGGTTTAGATCTAATGTCAGCTGTGACTTCCAGGTTTTATGCAAGTGGAAAAATTCTCCTCAAAAACCCTACAAGTTTCTCAGCTACAAACCCAAAGAATGAGACAGAGGATTAAACATTTACCTGATCCTTCTCCAGCCAACAGCTCAGATGGATTTATTTCTGAGGCAGGAGCCTCACTGTCTTTCAGTGCAGCAGCATGTCCAGAAGACCTTCTTTGGGGGGACAGCCTGCAAGGTCTCAGCACACTGGCATCTCCCAGGTCCTGTTTCTGCTGACAGTCCTGCGTGGGCAGCTCTCCCTCAGTCCCACTCTCTTTTCCCTCTGCAGTCTTCTCATGATGGTCTTGAACAGCATCTGCCTCTGAAGCTTTTTCAGTCAGCAGTCCAGAGGTCCTTGGCCTACCCCTTTTTTTCCCAGAGCCAGATTTCTGACCAGCAGGAGATGCCACTTCTGATGGTAACTCCTCTGAAGCCAGCACCTCTGAACAGACACTTTTGTTTAATAATTCTTTACTTTGCTTGTTACTTCTTCTGGGACTCTTGGAATCAGAAGAGGCAAGAGTTTGCAAACAGCCCATGTTTGAGTTAAAGTTTGCCTGATGACAGATTTCTTCCAGCACTGCTTCTTGCACAGGTTTCCCTGGTGTGTGCTGTTTGCTGCTTTGTCTTTGTTTTGAGGCTTTATCTTCTGCCAGAGGCAGTTGCTGGAGGTCACTGTCTCCACTCCCTGAACCTTCCCTGCCAGTCCCAGCTAACACTCCTGACAGAGACTTACGCTTCAGGGACACACCCGGGCGGCGAGTTGGAGTAAGAGTGCCTAGAGGAGTCATCCCAGCAGCTCCTTCAGTGGGCAGCATGGAATGAGAGCGAGGACTCCTCCTTCTGGATGCTGGTGTAGAGAGGCCACCTGCTTCAGAGACCTTGGTCTGGCTACTTGTTTGTGGTGGTTTAGCCACTGCTGTTGCAGGGCTCTGCATTTTCACTGTACCAGCCACATCCAAGCGTTCGATGGAGCACTGCTCCAGGGGGAGCACTGCATCTGCACCAGCCTCCTTGCTGGCTCTGGCTGTCACTGCAGCACCCTGAGATCTGTCTGCTGCACCTTGCTCCACACCAGCCTGCAAGTTGCTTCTTTTATCATCCTCTCTTGACATCTCCTTTGAAAGCAAAGTTTGAGGACTTGTGGTAAAACTCTTCTTGGTAGCACTTCCTAGGGCCGAGATGGGGTTCAAGTCCACACTGACCACATCTTCCTTTAATTTCTTCTTACATTCTTCACTATTTTCATTCCTGTCTATTTCTTGTTCTTTATTTGAGCTTCCCAGATCACGAGCACAACTGGATGAAATCCCAGCACTTGGGTCTGGCAGAACACTCTCACCATCTTCCTTTGTAGCTTGTTGAGATGCATTTCCTTCTTGCAAGGTTTTTTTCACTTTAAACTCAAGTCTCAGTTGTTCATAGAGTTCACTAAAAGGAGATTTTTCATTTTGCTTTTTAATAGATAGATGTACTCTGTGTAAAGATTTGGGTGTTTGTGGTTGGACAGGTAAAGCTTTGGAAACATTTTCCTCTTCACTTTGTTTCTTCTCATTGGTATTTTTTTCTTCACACTCACCATTATCTACAAAGTAAAAAAAGAAAAAAACAGGTAATACAAATGCAGAGTTACTGCAGAAATGCAGAACTACAAAAATGAGTTCCATAAATACAGATAAAAATTCCTTCTGTTCCTGTCCAGGGTCCTGGACACAGTCCTGCAAACAGAGCTCTGGTAACAGTAAAAACTTCTCTCAGAAATATTTGTATCTAAATGTTTAAGTTGTTCTCTGGAATTTAGCCCATATTCAGATCAGGCACTGGGTATTTCACACTTTTGTTTTTCTTTGGAATCCATGGCTCACACACCCCCCCCAGGGCTGCCACCAGACACAGCTATGAGCAGGGATCCACAGGATGGGCTGAGCACAGCTTTGCCTCCACACAGGTGCCGTGCTGCTGGAATCTGTTACACTGAGGGTGCTGAGCCCCTGGCCCAGGCTGCCCAGAGAGGTGGTCGCTGCCCCATCCCTGGAACCATCCCAGGTGAGGTTGGATGGAGCTCTGAGCACCCTGCTCTAGCTGGGGCTGTCCCTGCTCCCTGCAGGGGGCTGGATTAGACAACCTTGAAATGTCCCTTCCCACCCAAAGCATTCCATGATCTAAGTGACTGTGTGTGCTGCCATTCTACTGCAATCTGTAATCTCCAGCCAAAGTGTCACCATGAACAAACCTTGTGTCTTCCCATGAAAATCAGCATAACCAAAGACAAGAGGTATGGCAAGGGGAAGTTGTGTCTTTTAACCAGTCAAAAAAATCTAGAACCACTAGATTTTTACTGGGTCTACACTTAGCAACTACTGTAAACCATTCTTTCAATCAGCAAAACGAACCCTTTCTTCTCTATCTCCAAAATTACATCTGCTTCAGTTTCTTACTAGGAAAGACCAGCTGAAATACAGCAGGATTTGCTCAGAAGGGATCTGCCTGTGCTCTAGGTCAGCAGAGAACTGCAAGTTCAACGTTCATCACAAAGGTGAATTTGCCACACTGCACTCATTTGGTGGTATCAGAGGTAAAAATGTAAGAGGCAGTTGTTCCAGTTTCAGCTGACAGTTGTTTTGTGTGCAAAGCTGATGCACTGAAGAGGACCCTGACAGAGCACAGGGTATTCTATTCAGATGGAAAAGTCTTGACACAAATTTTTTTTCTCTTTTTAACCTCCTTTTTTCCTCTAATGCTAAGAATAAGTGCAGTAGAGGGGGGAGAAGAAAAAGCCCGCATGAAACAAGAACCAACCTGAAGCATCAAGACTTTTAGATCCTGAAGGTTCTTTGGGTAATAATTCCACTTCTGCCACCTGTGAACATGAAGAACCTGTAAATTTATACAAAATTACAGCAAAGCAACAAATATTTTACACCTTAGCTTTCAACTGTACATTGAAAAACACCAGATTTATAGAAGCATAGGCACAGTTTATTAAACAGGCTTAAAAGTATGAAATGAAATCCTAGAATATTTCAGAAGTTGAGAACGTTGACCAATACACATTCCAGGTCCTATATAGTAAAATGTTTAAGCCTTGTTTTACCATTAAAATTATTAGCTCTAAAGGCAGCTGTTGCATAAGGGCATACATAAGTACATTTGAATCTTGCCTTCTTACCAGACCTACTAGAAAATTTGTATTTAAATAAGAAAATTATACCATAAAAAAAAAAACTTTCAGTACCCACAGTACTCCCAAACAAACACGATCCTCTTTAAGGGAGAAAACTTTGCTGAGAACAAAACAAACAAAAAAACCCACAGAAACTAAGGAAACTGAATTATTAAAAGATAGGCTCAGTTTGCTGTCTATAAATTCCAACAGTGCATTAGTGTAGCAGCACACAAAACAGCAGGGTATTTTGGAAAAAAACAATGTTCCTTCTCCAGGGCACACTTCCCATTTAAAGTGTAAAGACATCCAAGGCCTATGCTCTGTTTCCTGCATCCCATCCTCACTTTGGAAAAGCTAATGATTAGTTTTTAATAGCTTACCTGTATTAACAACATCATAGATTATTAAATATCTATTATTGGAAACTGGCAAGTCTAAAAGTCAATAAATTAATTGTTCAAAAATTATTTCTCCAAAGGAGTTTGGTTTTATTTTCAACCAGAAAAATTATTTTTTCTGTGGCCTATGGCCAAAAAATTATTCCTATTAAGAAAACAGAAGGAAATAAGAGTAACATAGGACTACAATTCCCAGTGTACTTGTAATAAACAATCCTACAGCCACAAAATTACCTGCAGTGTTTCATCTTTCGGAGACCTCGAACGCCTCTTCCTCAGAGCTGACTGGGGAGGATATTCAAACCTGCAAGAAGCAGTTAAAGAGACAATCATTTTTTGTCAAATAGCTGATGACTAGATCCCCATGATTAAGATGAACAACCTAGAAATAGTTCTCTCTCCCTAATGATACACACACATCCCTTTTATAAGCTTTAACTACATCAAAATACTCCTGAATTTTCCCCTAAGAACGACTACCTGTGCAACAAAATCAAAATAATCTCTAGACAGTTCTACCTTCATTGGCCTAGCTCAGCATAATATAAAAATGATTTTTAAAAGTCTATCTTTAAGCAGACCTGCCTTCTGAAGGAGGCCTGTGAAACGTGGTGAAGAAACAAACTAGAGCAACTTTTCTTGCTGAAGATGGCAAAAGGATATTTTAACCTCTCCCCATTCATCTACAGCCATCTGCATCTTCTCCCAGCCCAGGTCCAGGACCCCCTGCAGCTGCAGAAGCCCCTGCAGGGTGCAGCCAGGAGGAGTGTGTCCCTGGCACCTACCTGAAGGAGCGGTCAATGATGGTGAAGACGTCCCCGTGCCTCAGGGGCACGGCGTGCTGGAAGAGAGCACCGTTCAGCCGGGTGGGATTCACCATGCTCAGGTTAGTCAGCACTGCCTGAAAGTCAAGGAAACAGTTCAGCAGCCTGATGAGATGCAGCCAGGCAAGGCTGATGGCATTCAAATGTGTTTCTCTCACCTCCTTGTTCTCGTTCACTTCAATTTTACAGTGTTCTTTCGAGACGTGAGGCAGGTGGATGCGGATGTCACACTCTGTTCTCCTGGGGGGAAAGGCAATCTGAGCTTCAGGGCACACAGAGGACAAAAACCTGAATTCTACAAAATCACCACGTTGTTCAGGTTGGGAAACACCTTTAAGATCATCATGTCCAACCATTAACTGAACTCTACCAAGCCTACCACTAACCCATGTCCCTCACCCCCACATCTCCACGGCTTGGAAGCCCCCCCCGGGGGGGGGGCCCCACCACCGC